TTACTTTAAAATACAATATTTAAAAATTTATCCTGCCGTAACCTTATAAAATTGGCATATTTTTTATCAAAGTGGCGTATATAGAAGCTAGCACACGTAAATCTAGAAGAATGACGTCATCGATCATTCAAGCTGACTTACTAGTTATTATATTACCTTGAAGAAGACCAATATTTCATTGATCGTGGAATCTCTTGAAGTGATAGTGAATATGCTAAAATTAATAGAAACCCGTTAGTAGTGTGTCACCCATTTAGGAGCACTAGATTTATTTATATAAAGAAATTGCATTTGGTAGGTCAATCCTCACTTACATACCCAATATCAGTAGTGAACTAGCCCCTCCATCCATGGATGCTAAATTGGAATCGACCAGAAAAAGAATCCTTCCACTCTTCTCCGCTAAAATATTCATCCACTCAATTATTTTTCCATGCTTGCCTCAGGCACACTTCCGTCTGCTTAACAAAATTAGTCAAAAAGACATATAAGAAAAAGACAAAACAAGATTGTGAGCATGGTGCTAAAACCTTATAACGTGAAAAGAATATGCTCTTTCTCGGGCTTTCACAGCATTTGCTTGTTAATTGACTACCCTTTTTCAAAGGCGAAAGAATATGCTCTTTTCACAGCATTTTCTTGTTAATTAACTTCCCTATCTCTAAGGCAAAAGAAGATGCCGTTTCTTGGGGTTCAGAGCGAGTCAATAGTCTTTTTTTATGTTAAGAAACAAGAACCAATCAATTCAATCTTGTTAAGAAACTCAAGAATGATTTGTTAATAATGTTTCTTGACAATAATTCTTATGTGATTGTGCTATAGTTTTTGTTTGCCCTTTTTATTTTTGGGATGTAAATTAATGTGTTCACTCATATAGAGTAACGTGATGATCCTGAGAATTCTTGTGCATCAGGGAGACCATCTTTGGGAGCAAAAGTGTTCTTCAAAAACTAAATGGTGGCCCATTAAGGAGGGATTTAGTTGGGCTGCTTGCTTCTTGGGCCATTAAGTATACCTAATAATAGTGTAAAAGACAAGACAATCTGCCCCTGACAGGCCCACCAACAGAGCTTCATAGAGACCAGAACCCAACCCAATCATAGAGCCAGCTGCCTTTGTTGTGTTTCCCTGTCGTTCATAGAAAACCCGGCTGTAAAATTAGCACCTGATTTATCACTTAAAACCCGAAAAAAAAAATGGCTCTTGACTCTTA